AAAAAAAATAAAATTGAAAAGTAACGGTTTTTGGCGGGAAAGTGCCACGTAGGTATAATTTAATAGGTTTTATTAAATGCTTATAAGCCAGTAATTATATATATATAGATTGGTGTGACAAATAAAAAAAGATTAGATAACAAATAATATTTATTTGTTTTTGAAAAAAAATATTATGAGTTTAATTTAAAAAAAAATCAACTTTGGGACTTTTTAAAAAAAAATATGGTGGATAAAATGTAGTTTATAATAAATAAATATTACTTTTTATTATTTGTTAAAAAATGATATTATCAGTTATCTATCGTTTCGAAAAAAAAAAGATATTATCAGTTATAATTATAAATTTTCTAATATATGAATAACATAAATCATATCTATGTCTGTGATTTGCTTTTGACTCTTGACGATGCTATTATAAATATCTATAATTATAATAGAGATAAAAAAAAGGGTAAAAACGACAAAATCTGTGGATACAAAATCGAATCTATGTCTGTGAATTGCATTTGACACTTGACAATATGCTATCTAAAATCTCTATAATTATAATAGAGATAAATGAGTGACCTAGAAGCTAAAAAAAATTATCCCGAGCCATTACAATAATCGGGCTCATTGATATTCTTGGTATGGTAGATGTTGTCACACATACAATCACAACCCCTAAGAGCACTTCAATACGGAAGGGCTCAACTCAATCCCAACATGGTTCTTTGTAACTGGACTTCTTTACCCTTCTCTTCTTTCATTGTCGAGCCTCATTTTGATTCCTTTGAAGTCGAGCATGATTTAAAGTAAAATAATAAAATAATAGCAAAGAATAAAAGTATATCAATATATGCACATTTTTTAATCACTCGAAATTCATATATTTATTTATTTAAAAAATAAAATAATAGGAAAGAATAAAAGTATATCAATATATGCACATTTTTTAAATTCCTCAATTATTAAATACAGTGAATTTATTTTGTTAAATTGAATAACAATTATTAATAAATTAAATGTATATAATCTACGCGTGTGTGGTAACATTAATATTATGTTTGGTAAGCACCACAAGCTAGCTTATAAATATTATGTACACAAATAAGTTTGGATTGGTAGGATGAGTTTTTTTTTTTTTTTTTT